TATTACGTGTGTGGTTGTAAAATAAAGAATAAGAATACGTGTGCATGTAAGATAAGAATAACGTATGAGTGTGAGTTAGGTAAGGCATAAGCATCACGTGTGAGTTAGGTAAAGAATATCTAAGGGAATATGCCTTGGAATATTCCTTAGAGATTATAATATAAATAGAGGCTTGGGTAGATGTTGTAAACCAAGCCAATTGTGAGAGAAAACAGAAGAGTCTTTGTTGTAATCCTTTGAGTGTTCTTATCAATAAAGATTCCCCTTTGTTTATACATCCTTATACTTAAACATTTATCTTTTGTCCCTTTGATCCTGCAAAAACCTCCTACGTGGTTGTACCCACTATGTGTCTGTAAATTTCATTTTTCCTACCTTATCTTTGGCAAGCAGCACTAGGTAGCTTCAAAGCGCCCTGAAATTTACACACCCAATAAGCTTTCATCATGTCTCCTTGTGTTAATATTGCCTGTCCATTCGGGGAAGACCTCGTGTTGCACCCTTTCCTTTTTGGGTTTTTTCTACCATTTTTGGATTGTTTCTGCCGATTTTTCCTTCCATATTCTTGGCAGGCTGGAGTTGGTAGCTCCATAGCACATATTTTTTACACTCCCAATGGCCTTTCATCATGTCTCCTTGTGTTTGTATTGCCCGCTCATCCTTGGAAGTTCTCGTGTTGCACCGTCCCTTTTGTTTGTTTCTACCGATTTGTCCTACCTTATCTTTGGCAGACATGACTAGGTAGCTTCTAAGCGTCAAGAATTTTACACACCCAATAAGCTTTCACCATGTCTCCTTGTGTTCGTATTACCCACCATCCTAGTAAGACCTCGTGTTGCACCCCTCCATTTTTGGTTTGGTTCTACCAATTATTCCTACCATATTCTTGGCAAGCAGGACATGGTAGCTCCATAGCCCCATGATTTTTACACTCCCAATGAVCTTTCATCATGTCTCTTTGTGTTCGTATTGCTCGCTCATCCCTGGAAGTTCTCGTGTTGCACCATCTCTTTCGTTTGTTTTTACCGACTTTTCCTACCTTATCTTTGACAGGAACGACTAGGTAGGTTCAAAGCACTAAGAATTTTACACACCCAATAAGCTTTCATCATGTGTCCTTGTGTTTGTATTACCAGCTCATCCTGGGAAGACCTCGTGTTGCACCCCTCCCTTTTTGGATTGTTTCTGTCGATATTTCCCACAATATTCTTGGCAGGCAGAACTTGGTAGCGCCATAGCGCCATTATGCTTACCCTCCCAATGACCTTTCATCATGTCTTCTTGTCTTTGTATTGCCCGCTCATCCTTGGAAGTTCTCGTGTTGCACCGTCCTTTTTGTTTGTTTCCACCGACTTCTCCTACCTTATCTTTGGCAGGCAGGACTAGGTAGCTTCTAAGCACCATGAATTTTACACACCCAATATGATTTCATCATGTCTACTTGTGTTCGTATTGCACGTCCATCTAGGGAAGACCTCATGTTGCAGCCCTCCCTTTTTGGTTTGTTTTTGCCGATTTTTCCTACCATATTCTTGGCAGGCAGGACTTGGTAACTCCATAGCACCATGATGTTTACACTGTCTCCTTGTTTCGTATTGTACGCTCATCCTTGGAAGTCCTCGTGATGCACTGTCTTTTTTGTTTGTGTTGACGGATTTTTCCTACCTTATATTTAGCATGGAGGACTAGGTAGCTTCAAAGCACCAAGAATTTTAGACTCCCA